TGTACCCTTATGTGTGGTAATTGTCTGGATTTTAGAGCTTTCAGCGTCCACTGTAAGATGTAAATAAGCCTTGTAAATGTCTAACGTGCAAAAATAGTTTCCATTCCTCATTTTGTTAAGGATATCCTCTATTCTTGGTATTGGATAACGACTGTCATGTAGTTGTTGGTTTACAGTTACCTTGTAATCCACGCAAATATGGACCGATCCATTTGCTTTTGGAATCACAACAATCGGTGTACCCCACTCAGATTGATCCACTTTCTCTATTATGTCTTCCTTTTCCAGTTTAAATAGTTCGTTCTCAACAGCTTTTCGAAGGGCGTGAGGTACCGGTCTGGCTTTCAAGTACACAGGTTTTGAATTATCCTTTAGTTTTAAAGAGCATGTGAAGTTGGGCGTTTTACCAATACATTGTTCAAAAAAGGCTTGAGAATCTTTGCTTGATGGATTTGACTCTGGTTTCTTCATACTAACAAGATTAATGTTGTGTAAGTTAATTTTTAATTTTCGGATCCAATCCCTTCCAAGAATAGGATTTTTAGGTAGATTTACAATGTATAGATCTTCTCTGCAAGATTTCCCTTCATATCTTATGCTTAGGGTACAAACCCCAATTGGTTTGAATATTTGTCCAGTATAAGATCGAAAGAGAGCACTTGTTTTGCAAACTGGAACATGTAAGTCTAGTTTCTTGAAGTCATCATTGTTCATTATGCTAACACGACTTCCGGAATCAGACTCAAAACGTTGTTGTTTACCATTTAGAAATACGTTTAGGCTACCATCATTCTGTCATCTCCTTCATCATTATTCAATACATTTATAATCCGTTAAACGTCGTATTCATATTCAGAATCAATTTCATCAACTCTTTTTACATTTTTGTCTGAAGACTGTATTTCCTGAATTCGTTTTGTTATACACACCTTTTCTATGTGCCCGATTTTGTTCTTGGTTGTTTTACTGATTTTGTAAATGTCATTCTGATTATTACTGGCTGTATATAAATTACGGTTGTCAAGTTTTGAAGCCTCTATAGCCAAGGCAATTTCTAAGGCTTTTTCAAACGATATTTCACCCAGTTGTAAGAGTCTTTCTCTGATATTTGAGTCATATAAGCCTCTGATTAATTGAGCCCTGAGCATGAGGTTTATAACTGGTTTTGTGCATTTTCCCTCTTTACATCCAGATTTGAAATCTGCTGAACAAGCCAGTTGTTTGAGGACTGTAACATAATTTGTAATTGATTTATTCCTATCTTGTAAACGTGATAAGAATTTATGCTGTTCTGTAAGTATGTCTTCTTTGGGCTTAGGTGCTCATTTAGTAATATCAGTAACTCTTGGTATGTTTTTGAGTCTGGTTTGTCTGGAGATGTTAGACTGCAGATCAGATTGTAATGCTTAGCACCTAAGCAATTCATTAACCCTCCGAGCGTCACTTGTCGAAAAATCGTCTCACGACACACTTTGTGTAGTGTCACTTGTCGATTTTTCGACACACGAACATCGTTTACGGCGAAGGCTCTATGACTGACTGAATCGGATTGAACTGGATCGAGTTAGGTATCGTTCTTTTTGTTAGATTCAGAGCTTTCTCCGGAGGTCTGTCTCTAAGCGCTATTCATTTTAGTTCCGAAAATATTGTAGCAGACAGCTGACGTGCGTATTTGTAAACAGCTTGGTTAACCTCGGACCGATGACTGATGTGTTTTATTACGTTTATCATTGTTTTAGTGTTAAAAATCAAAAGTAGTGATATACGTGGTGCTTATAAGAAGATTTAAGTGATTTTGAAGGGCTGGTTGATGATCCTGAAGAAGTAGGTAGTGATATTGATGTAAATTATCAGCCAGATTCCTAGCTATGGTTAGGCTATGCATTCTTAGCTAAACGCTATGTACTGAAATCTGTTTTTTGCCCATAACTTATTTATTTGCAAATCTACTTCCTTATATTATTATATATTTGTAATCCTCATAAAATTTAGAACAAAGTGGCTATTTTCAAATATTTATAGGCCTATAATTTATACAATTTCATTAAGCGCGAACTTAGGCCTATTTTTTTTTTAATTTTCCAAAATTTTTTTTTACCTAAAACATTTTTTTGAAACAAATGTTCCTTATGTTTTATGTATAATATTGAAGCCCGTGAAAGTCCAAATGAAAGTCCAAACAAAATGGTATATAGAACAGTAGAATTAACATTGTTTTAAGCTTCTCAGATCCGTTTTAATAAAACCTTGCAAATGCGCCAAAAATAGGCGGAAAGGCCTAAACTATGGACACTCGGAGGGTTAAAAATAAACCTTTTAAGTGTTCAATCTCTGAATCATTGTCTGTCAATCCTTTTATTTAAAAAAATATTTCTAAACGCTGAGTGTAGCTTTCAAACGTTTCCTTATCTTCATCATAAGCATCAAACTTTAATGCATTGCTTTGTAGTAGTTCCTTGGTACTTTGTCTTGATCTAGGCTGTTCTGTTTGTTGACTTGTTTGTTGTGCCATTAATGTCATAAAATTGTTTAAGGTAGATATAATGTCTTGTATTTCAGTCATTTGCTTACTCGTCGTCAAATTATTAAGTATAAATTTGTACAAAATATATGAACACAACTATTGAATCATGTTTATTTCTTAACTAGCTGTATCCGCGGGCTTCGCCCCGTTTAACTTCATAAGTATTCGCATGGCTCATTCACGTCCTGGTTGAAGTTCGTTCGCTACGCTCACTCACCTTTAGGTTGGAGCTCGTTCGCTGCGCTCACTTGCCTTCAGGTTAGCTCATTCGTAACTTCATAAGTATTCGCATGGCTCATTCACGTCCTGGTTGAAGTTCGTTCGCTACGCTCACTCACCTTTTGGTTGGAAATAAGCTGTTGTCATAAATAAAAAAAAAAAAAAATAGTGCTGCACCCTGTTGGTAATCCTTGTAACTTTTATGCTATTGAACATCATAGAACAGAACCAACTTGTTTAATTGAAACAGCTGTTAAGATTCATTAATCTATACTTATTTAATACGCAAGCAGGATTTTTGTGACAATTACTCCTCCAAAACTACTGAACCGATTGACATGTTTTTGGTGTCATTGGAAAGAGCATAACGTGAAGTTTTGCAAGAAACTTTCTTTTCAGGTAAATAGTTAGAGAGTGAGGCCCTGGGGCCCTTTAAAGTTTTGTATTTCTCCATAAGATTAACATGGGAAACAAACATTGTTTTGAAACTCCAGCTGTTGTCAGAAATTAAATATTAATAATTGGTCTCCATGGAAGCATGAGAAAATTCACAATGTTTACATTTTTGCTTTGACATTTAAATGTAAACAACGAGAACTGTCAAATGCCTATTTCACAATTTCAAACAGCTGATCCAAAGAAATAAAGCGACATGTGGTATGTTTATTTAATCTTAAACTTTATGATTGATTTTTGATTATGAATCTATTCCAATGATTCTGAAATAGATTTTTCCCGTTGCGAAGCAAAAATTAAAAGTGAGAAGAAGAACATATGTTAATTGTAAACAGTCAATAATTAAATTATTTATGTTGTATTAAAAATGTGTATAGTTTTGGATGTTTGTTTGTGTTTAATGATATAAGTTATTAATTATAGAATTTTTATTTTAAGGATTTGGAATATGAGTAAGCCTATGATAAATAACACCATTTCGGAGTTCTGCCAGTTTTTGCCTAGCTCTGTCCTGTAGTGTTTAAAGTAGCCTACACCTTATTATCTAAAAATTTGCTAAATAGCTTAGGTACGTTACTTTATAAAAGCTGACAGCCTTTTTACGTTGACTTAAATTGTAAGCTTACCTTTTCCCGTCATCATCGGAAATTATGACTGTTATTAGTTTTTAAACAAGTTATTTGTTTATAAATAACTCCTGTACTTCTTTGCAATTGCTCGATTTCGAGCAACATGTACACTAGTTCCTTTTAAATATGAAAAATCATAAGATTAACATGGGGAACTACAGAGCCACTGGGGTGGAGCCCGAAAGGGTTTTTGAGATAAGAATATGCTTTAATGTTAATCGGGAATGTGAGCTATCATCATGCCAAATTTCAGCCCAATCCGTCCAGTAGTTAACGCGTGATTGAGCAACACACACACACACACACAAACATACACACAAACTCACAAACTTTCAGATTTATAATATTAGTAAGATAAGATAATGAAAAGTAAACATTGAATTATTTACAATATGAAATTAAATCAGTCATATGATAAATATTAAAACTAAATGAGAGAGTTTTAAATATATAACAGATACAATGAAAACTTAATTACTTAGATCCAAAGTAAACATAATCAAACAAATGAATATAGAAACATTTGAACAATCAGTTTTTTGTTTATCCCGGCCAAGCAAAAATTGTTTTTATTGTGACTTTTAACTTGTAACTTATGTGATTACTGTAAATACCTACAGTAGTTGTTGGGAATCAGGATTTGATATTTGCTGAAATCAATCTCAAGTTAACCTTTCCATAAACAATGCTGTCTTTTTTGTTGGAGTTTGTTTTTATGCTGTTTTGGATGATATCACCATTTAATCCACAAGCTATTAATTAACCTCAATTTACATCAGCTAGGTCTATAATTAGTATATAATTAGCAAAAGTCATGTTCAAAGATAAGAAACACCATTATTGGTGTGTTGTGTTATGTAAAATAATCTGATGGATTCATGATGCGGTGAGAAGTTATAAGTTAACACTGGAAATGCTGACATCAGTTAGTTACTCGGACCTTGTCATTTTTCTATTGGTAAGTCTTGTTGACTTATCAGCTGTTTTGTACATCTCTAAAGATTTGTTTCCAGTTTTTGTTGGACACAGATTTGTAATGCCATTCAATTATTGCTTAAGCTATTTCATACAAGTTAAAAATAAAAAATAAACACTAAAAATCGATACAGTAAACAATGCAAACATACAAGTTTGATATTATGGCTGGTTGATGGCTCTTTGTTGTTATGCAGGGTGGTGCGATGGCGGGGCAGGTCAAGAAGGTGGCCCCGGACGGGGGCTGGGGCTGGATGGTAGTGCTTGCCATATCCATCAACAATGTGAGTACCTAGTAAACTTAGCTTTGACTTTTAGATAGAGCCTATTAGTTTATACTGTCCATTCAGGGTATATCTTGTAACTGTAGGCCTAACCAAATAAAAAAAAAAAAAATTTAAAAGCCAGTTGAATGAGCCACTTAGAGAATATGCTACAGTCTAAAACTCTAATTTCCCTCTGGATTTACAGAAGTGCACTCTGTCAGTAGCTTACAAGGTTTATTTTTATTCTAGAATCGGCCTCAATTTTACCATGTGAATGGAATATCTTGTTCTAACTATAGACTGTTAGTTAAATGTTAAAACCTCTATCAACTTCATCTCTGAATCACAAGTCTATTGTTTTCTAACCCTAACAGAACTTGCATCAAAGTTCCAATAAGTGATAATATGCTACCCACTCAAGATATTATCAAACTGTCCCGGAAATGTCAAAATAATGTTTGGAACTTGAACAACTTTAATCAGTTTCAATTATTTTTTCTGCCTTGTATTAACACCTGGGTTGTGGTAGTTCTGGCAAACAGCGGATGTAATTAAATGAGATCCCAGATTCAATTTTTGAGTTGAGCTCATCAAATCTGGAATTAAAAATAAAATCTTTTTCTGAGATTCAATGGATTTATGAGTCGTGGTTGACACTTAACTGTTGTACTTAAATTACCACTACAATTTTTTTAGGACATTGTTCTGCCTAAAACCTTACAATGAATACTTAAATACTCTCAGCAATAATGGGAATGACCCTAAATGTATGTATTTTAAATGGCGTTCAGGGGCACTTCCATAATGCAAAAGGGATACAGTAGAACCCCTCATATCCAGCCACCACGGGACCAAGCCCCTGGCCGGATAACGATTTAGCCGGATAAACCAACCTACTATGAAAATTACCATTGATCTAATAATATTATTGATCTAATATTATTTTATCAATATATGCAGTCAAAAGTATCATTCAAGTCTGTTCTGGGATTATTTTTAGAAGAATAGACATGTTTATAACTTAAAAAGAAAAACAAATTATTTGTAAGCTAAAGTCGTTAAGCAATGATAGTACAAATACATACTATGATTCCAGGTAGGCCTACAAAAAATATTAAATAATAATGGAGGTAAAATGACAATGAATTTGACTTGAAGATTTTTAAATGGTACATGCAATTTAAGTTACTCAACTTTCTTATCCATTTTGTGAAATACAAAAATTAATGTACGGTACTGTACTGTACTAACCCCACTTTGGAAAAAAATCAACCACAGTAAATAAATGATAAACAAACTAATAAATAGTGAGAACAATTTATTTTATGACTTGAGTAAGCGCAAAGACTAGTGCTTGCATCTAAACGTCTGTAAGATGTGAGAAAAACATTTTCTTATTGGCTTCCTGGAAGGGGCCGGATAAACAGAGGACCGATAAAACCAAGGCCGGATATGAGGGGTTCTACTGTAGTGAGTTTTTGAAAAGGGGTTCATGGCACCTCCATTTAAGCCCCCATGGCCACAAACCCTCTTGGTGCACTGCATACAGAATTGTCTTGGATCAAAGCTAGAAACTCAATTCACTCAACTTTTAGATATTTAGTTTTTCATTGATAATGCCAGTGCCGGACAGGTATTCTGTGTTTCGTGAGGTTGAATTGTATTTCACGGGAAGTGTTTACCGGGATATGGCTTGGTTTGGTCTTTGTACTGTTTGGTGTATTACAACCTCCTACAGTTGAGCTTATATAAGGCTGAGCTTATATAAGGTTCACACCAGCCAGGCCCGGTGCAAAGTGTATTTCCCAAAGGACGCGTTGCAGAAAGTCAACAGTCCCGGAAGGTCAAATAATTTATACCTGTGCCGCTAGGTCAAAAACTACAATGTTTGCAGTGTCTGTAGATCAAAAATCCCAGAAAGTCAAATAGTACAGTCCGGGCTAAAAGTTTAGTCTATGTTAAAGCAATTGACTTATTGGGAATTTGACTTAATGCAACAGCAGTTTTAATATAACGAAATAAGATAAAATATAAGTTCAGTTTCGCTGAGTCAACAGTGCCGGAAGGTCAAAAGTATAATCTGTTAAAAACAACGATAGTCCTCTCGACGCATGTCTTCAATAATTTCGTGTTTTGGTGTTCTTAAAGTTGTGCTAACATTTTGAAATTTGGCACAGAGCTTCTTGGTTAGTCCTACTCGATGACTATTTTGTTGGAACTTTAAACTATTTACCGATCTAATTAATAAAAAATGATTTGTATGGTAAAATAGTTTTAAATCGTGATTTCTAACATGAAAAAGTTAGCATGCGAGATTTTTTGTTGTTTTTGGGTTAGAGAGGTTTTGTCTGTGGCAAAGTTGTAGCCAAAAGTGTGATGAGTAAAATATATTTTTTTGAATTTTTTACAATCAGTGGTTCAGTAGATAACTTGGGTTGAAGAGGACGGCAAATTTAGCATTTCGCAACGCATGGAAAGAACTACATCGTACGATGCGACTGCTGAGTGGACTTTTAATTTATCTAATTTAATTTATCTAAGGACAAGAAAAAGGTGAATATACAGATCACCAATCAATGATCAATGAATCATTGAAAACCAATGAAAACAGAAAAAGTTCAAAATCTACACATTTCTTTCTACATCTATTATTTCTTACTTTACAAAATCACCGAAACCACGCTCTCCTCGTGTAAGTATAGATATATTGTGGGAACTACATCTGCCCTAGGTTGAATTAGCATAATAGCGCAAGTTTAAATGAGAACAATTGTATGACTAAAACTAGTAAAAATAATTGATTTGGTAACTGATGACGTTGTTTAGACCTATCAGGAAACTACACTCCTTTACCACGTAAATATCTAACATAGTTTGTACCTCTGTGATTTCGTCTAATCATATTCAGTGATTCATTCTTTACATAGTTTGACTTTTTCGTAGGCCTGGTTGCAATATAGCTTATGTCTGGTTTTACATAGGTGTTGTCGCTGGTTATACAGTAGTACTTGCACATATTCGCGCCTTTTTTAATCCCGCGCTTTTATCGAGTGCGTTGACATTGACTAGTTATTCCAACTATTGTCATCAGTTTCTTGTTCTGTAACTCACATTCTAATCCTGATGTATCCCTCACTACATTTCCGCCTTGAACTGCATTATTTGACGAGCGTCTGGTTTAAATACATTAATCGATTTACAAGCTACATTATGAAATATTCATAATGTACCTTGCAAATCGATTAATAGATAGTCTACTAACTAATTTACTCCCTACAAATAATTAGGTAATACATTATTTAATACAGTGATATCAATGACAAATGTATATGATACTTTTACTAATACAATATTCTTAAATTTATTACACCTATTTGCAAATGTTTCAGCTAACTTGTCCACAGTAACATTTACATTCGTGTAGTTCTTGACAGAAGACTTTAATACAAAACTAGATGTATGTCTCTTGGACTTGACATAATTTCAAAAAGAAGTGATATTGTATACAACTCACAACAAAAATCAAATAGTTAGTATACGCTGTCCTAATTGTTATTTTTACTTCCGATTTTATAGTTGTAAACAAGGCAATAATGGTGGTTGGAAAACTTAAGTTTTTCGCATACTTGTCTTAATTTACAGATTCGGTTGCATCCTTTGTTAACCAAAAAGGATATTTACATTTATTGACAAAATAAAACTTAGACTGATCGATGATTATAAATACGATGGACAACTGCATTTACATCACCATACTTATGCAAATAGGTCCAAAATAAATCTCTCATAGACAATATAACTTATAAAGACCGGCCTCTGCAGTAATATGGTTTACCGTACTTATTAATTGCGTACTTATTAATTTACCGTACTTATTAAAAAATAGCAAAGTGCCGAAAATTACCAATTTGTGGGTAAACCAAAGTAATCCAACGTAGCTTACTCTAACCTAACCTAACCTAACCCATACTTAGATCAGCAAAGTGCCGAAAATTACCGATTTTGTGTAAACCCAGCTTAGGTTAGGGCTGAGGAGCTCAGCTAAAGGTTATTTTAGGGAGTCCTTGGAGGCTAGTGGCCATTTTGGATAATTTCAAACAGCTGCTGAAGAGCGATTTATCGTCCAAAAATATTTTTTCAAACACCAAAGTGATTATAATTTAACATCGAGTATAGTGTGAGATTAGAAATGTTCTTTGTAGTTTTTTATTGTTCTCCAGTGGAGTCAATGAAAGCTAACAGCCATCTTGGATTTGTCCCCCATAAGAGCGATGTTAATTACGTTAATTTCAGACAGCAGCTGGAGATTTATTTACAGTCCAAAAATATTTTTTTCAAACATCAGAGTGATTGTAATTTAAATATCTAGTATATTGTTAAATTATAAATTGTCTTTGTAGTTCTTACATTGTTTTATGAGTTACAACGTCTAGGCTCCAAGGACTCTTTTACACTCTTTTATTGACACTTACCAATCAAATGTGGCGATATTAATGATTTATAACGCTTTTAACGATTTTCAAACGTGTTTTTCGTGGTGAAATATGTGTTTGCTGAAAAAGTGCAAGAGGAAAAGAAGTTTGAAATGACTCGAATAATAAAAAATAGGCTTCCATTAAAAGAAAAAAAGATTTTTCGAGCGCTTATAATCGCCGATTTCTAAAGCTTTTCTCGATTTCCAAACGTGATTTTCAGGGTGAAACAGTCGTTTCCCCCTAAAGTGCCAAAGGAAAATAGCATAATTTTGGTAGATAAGGTAAAAAATGCGATAAAACATAAGTAGTGCAAGTTCAGTATTGCCTCCTGGATTTCACCAATCACGTATTCAGACCCTAATTCCAAAATTTAGTTAACCTTGCGCTGGATTTTGAGATAAATATTGCAAACCCACAACGGACCTTTCCAGTTCTTCCTTATCTTTACCGCATATCTCTCTTATCTCCAAGACTACAGACTGCGCAATGAAGGAGGGTCTCGTGCCTATGCCTAATCTGATGAAGAATGAGCAAGAGCAATCG